ACACACACACACACACACACACACACACACACACACACACACACACACACTCATAACTAGTTTAGATTTGAACAGCTGACAGAGGGAGGAGGCTCCAGGATTGTTTGTTTGTTTGTTTGTTTACCTTTGAGTTGACATCGATGCCAGTGATGAAGGCTCCGGCCTTGTTCTCATACCTGCGGCAGGTGTCCTGAAAACCACAGAAGAAGAAGAAGAGGAAGTTCAGCTGCTTTACGTTCTGATTGGAACAGGTTCAGATTCATTCATTCACTCATTCATTCATTCATTCACTCACTCACCTGAACACAAACACTCAGACTCATTGAAGCCCTGTTATATTTTATTTTATTTCTCTTCATTGTTCTTTATTATTAATTAATGCAACAAGTGATTAATATGAACTTTGTGCTGTAATTGTGTTGATTTTGTTTTGTGAATCTTTTTCATTAAAAAACAAACATCCAGTCTTCCTGTTGACCAACAAACACTGCTGTAAACACGCTTCCAGAACCAGAACCCGGTGGTTCTGTTCGACCCAAAGTTTAAAACCTGCAGCAACAAGTGGCTCCAGCCTCCCGAACCGACCAGGCTCATATTACCCGTGGACCGGAGCCACACACCGGGTGAAGCTCGGTCCCGCTGGCCGACGACAGGCGCAGCTGAGCGGACAGTGACAGACTTGAGTCCCCGGTCTGAGCGGGGCCTACTCACCGGCAGCAGCTCCTTCACGGAGCGGTTCACCGGGACGTCCTCCAGCTCCCCCTCCTCCACCTCCATCGGCTCGGCCTCGCGGGCATCTCGGTCCGACTCGGAGTCCGAGTCCGAGTGGTCCGAGCTGCTGTCTGAATTCACCGACACCCGCGAACTGCGCACTGCCGCCATGGTGCTAAAGGCTGCGGACAACGAGCAGGTGGCGCTGCGCTGCGGCGGATGGAGCTGAGCGCCTCTTCTTCTTCTTCTTCTTCTTCTTCTGCTTCTTCTTCTGCTTCTTCTTCTACGGTCTGAAGGAGGCGGAGCCGGAGA